TATATATATATATATAATTAGTGCTTTCATGAGCTTTTTAATTTACATTAAGGCGACAAAGATGGCTAACAACTCATAAATCATAAGCCTTTGTGGTAAACAAAACAGAGCACGATTCATAATGATTATAGGTTTGAAAAGCATTCACTTGTTATGTGGCTAATCTCTTGAATCCCATGCTACTTTAAAGCGTTAATGACAGTAAATTAAAAATATTTTTTGATCTTTATGCGGCTTCTTTTAAATTTCAAACTTTGCTTGTACTTTAGAAAGCCCAATTAAAAGGTGAAAATTTTGAGAGAAACAAAGCAACTCCATAGGGGCTTGCTTGCTTCTCCACCTGAGTTTGGCTTTGTGCTGCCGAAAGGAAACGAAATTATTTCTAATAAGAGTATTGTGGAGTTTAATATTTGTCCTATTGAAAAAGAAGTGTCATTCACATTTAGTTTTGTGTGGATCATTTGGATAAGATTGCATAACTATATGATTTTCTTTTATTCTTTCATTATTATATACTTCTCCCTACAATTATATTATAATGAAATTTTTAGGGGTGAAAATAAAAAGTTAGTAATCAATTGGGTAAGATTTTATGAAGCTCTTCTAACTTTGGGCCATTTACATACATACTAAAGAATTTTTATATATGTATTTATATGTTTAACACCTAAATATTCATATTTACATGCATGAACTCAAGTTCTTAACATGATATCAAAATTATTACCACAATTCCTTTTTATATTAAAATTATGTTGATTTTTTAGTAAGCATATTGGCTTATTCATAACGATACAAAAAAATTATCATCCTAGTGCTAAATAAAAAATTTATAATCAAGCTGATAAATTAAGAGCTTCTCCTAAAATATGAGATTTTTTTTAATATAAAAAATCTTATGAAAGAAAAAAAATACTAGGGCTTAATCTAATTTAAATGACTTTATTATTGTGAACTGAATGTTATAATGGATGTCATTCTTCATGATTGGAGCCAATATGATTATTTTGCATATTTTTAGAAGTCAATCAATAATAAATTCATCTTCTTGCTTCTATATGTTGATGACATGTTGATTGCATTTGTCAGTTCGACATAGTTTGATAAGATAAAGAAACAACTGTCCAAACATTTCAAGATGAAAGAGTTGGGTGAAGGTTGCAGAATTCTTGGTATAAAGATTCTCAAAGATAAGGTTGTTGAAAAGGTTTGGCTCTCATAAGAAACAGATGTTCGGAAGGTACTGAAAATGTTTAAGATTGATGACTCGAGCAAGAATATGTGTCTACCCATTGCATCTCACTTTCATTTAAGTTTAGATTAGTATCCTAAAGATGATTATGAGAGAAAAGACATGTGATTGATTCCTTATGTTGGTGTAGTGGGCATTTTGATGCATGTCTTAGTTTATACGAGACTAGACATTACACAAGCAGTCGATGTTGTAAGTTCATATATGATCTAGGAGGGAATCATTGACAAATTATAAAGAGTATTTTGAGGTACATGAATGGTACAATTGATATCAACTTGGTGTTTGAGAGATAATTTTCTATTGTTAATTTATGTTTAAGCCATACTGATTCTGACTATGCAGGTGATATGAATAGGCGTAGGTCTATGACTGACTATTTATTACATTGACAAAAAAATCGAGTCAGTTGAAGACTAGTTCTTTTGTCTACTACAAAGGAGTACATGATAGTCACAGAGAGGACGAAGGAAGCTATATTGATGTAG